CTTAAAAATTAAATTTGATAATCTCAACCATTAAATAAGTAGTGGATCCCAATAAATACTGGGACCCACAATAAAATCAATGATTAAAATTATCAAGTCCAATTTTTAAATTCATATAGCATTGCTCATTTGTAAAAGAAGAAGAAGCAGCTCACCCACAATGACATTTGTCATTTGCGGATCCTACCAAATTATTAAACTTGGCGGCCACTCATTCTTTGATTAGGAGGCATCATCGTACAATGAAGTTTCTTGTACTAAAACAATCTTTTTGCATGCATTGACAAAGCTATTTCACTATTATTTGAATATAGCGAGTTTTAAATTAAAAAAATAATTTTTTTTGCGTGCAAGATAAAATCGTATGTATCTTATATCAACAAGTTCTATAACGATGAGAGCTTCGATATTAGGTTAAACCTTATGTTTCTAAGTACCATTTGCTACTCTATATTTTAGTATAGTCTAATCTAAATGTACCTGTGTACAAATGGTGTAAATGAGAGTCTCCAATCACTTCCATATATAGAATGCTTAAAAAAATAGTAATTATATCTTTCAATATCTGCCATTAAAACAAGAATTAAAAATCATGCTACAAGAAAATAGTTTTTCAGCATCGAGTATTGGCGGCGAACAGAAAAATTAGTTGCCAAAAAATGATTTTTGATGACGATTCCTAAAGTTCCTCATGAAAAACTTTTATAGGATTTTTTGGCGAATGAGTTTTTTCTATCGCTACTAAAAGACTTTACAAAAAAAAAAAATTTGGTGCAAATATTGACGCACAATGTTAATTTTATTAGTGACAACATTCTTAGTCGCCAAAAAATATTTTTTGGAAAAATAAAAAAATAAATTAGCGAGAAGTAATATTCATCACAAAAATATTAATATGCGACGAATTTTAAGCTTTTAACTACGAATTTTTTCGCCGCTAAAGAACAACTTTTTTGCAGTATTAATCATCAACTTTGAGTAATCCAATCCCAACTGTTTTTTCCTTCAAAAAGAAAATATCCGAATTTTTTTGTTTGTTATAGTGTAATGTACAGTCTAAATGTATCCTATTGTTACTGTCTAAAGGTTTGTTTCAGTTAGACCAGATGATCGAACGAGTCAATTGGGATAGATTCGATCAGCCATTCCAAGGATTTGGTTTGCTAATGCTATAAAGGGTGCGTTTAATTAAGGGCAGAATTAAGCTAAATTAGTTCAGTAATCACTTAATAATAGATTTAGATGATGTTATTATATCCGATCTTTGATTCAGTTAGTACCTGTCTGATACTACAGTGACTTTTAACACCACATCCTGCATATATATATATATATATATATCTATTTGTCTCTTTTAAGCTTGTTCAAATAACAAAATGGATTAAATATAATTATTTTCGAAGCTCTTTTGTAAATGAGCAGAATTTGAGCGAAATGTGACGTAACTCAAGTAGGCTTGGTTTGAATAGGTTCCTACATATAAACTAGTTCTAATCTTGCTGTCAAACAAACTCTATGTTAGATAATTTACCCACAACTTCTGTTAATAACTTTGGATCATATGCACATCTTTCTTCCTTTTTTTTCAAAATTTTTGGGGGAATTTTGAGCTCTAGTATTTGATCGTAAGATTGATGATACAAAATTTAAGAAAATTGATTACTTGGATTGATTATTAACATCTAATTTTAGTTTTTGAAAGTTTTTTAGGGTAAGAAAATAAGCTTAATTTTGGCTCAGGCTCAGCTAAAATGCTCGCATGCTTCCACCAAGTCGAATTGAGCTTGGCTCGCTCTAGGGCTCGAGCGAGCTTTGGCATAGTCAAGGTCGACAACAACCAACATTCCTATCTACGCTTACACATGGTTCATACTATTTTTGAAAATTTGAGATAAACTTGTTCCTATCCTGTTCATTGAAAAGGTTATGTAATAATATGCACGTATAAAAGAATTGAACTAAGAACAAACATTCAAAATAAGAAAAACAAACCTAACATAAACATGGACTAATGGACAAGCACAAATTAAACACAGGAAAATATAATTTTAAGGAGGCTTACATATTAATCGAAACCTTATAGTACAAAACTCAAGACTTTAGTTGGAATCTTTTTTTATAATCATTAGGATAATTATCCGATACACATGAAATACAAAAAAGTACACGTATCAAGAAGATTAATGAGATAGGAAACTATCATTCTTTACCTGAGCGCCCATATTTTTTTTCCCATAAGAAATCTCATATAGTTTTTTTTTTTTTTGGGTTCAATGATCAATAGTGTATTGACCAATTTATGCACATTTCGACTAATATCTTCTCTGGTATAATTAAAAGCATATCATCTACACCGACACTAACGTACTTATGAGGGATAAATCTCTCATGATTTGACTCTAAAAAATTGTCAAAATTTAAACTCGGGACGTGTTGAGCTTTAATGCGCTTTAAACCCAAAGACAAACACTCACAATCAAAGAATATAAAACAATGAGAGACAAGAAAGAACAAGACACAGATTTTACGTGGTTCAGCAATTTGTCTACGTTCACGAAACTACAGGGATTTCACTATTGAGAGAAAGGAATACAGATGGCGGTTGTACAATACACATAAAATAAAACCCTAATCACAAAAATAACAGGTTTTATATGTCCTGCGCACCGGACTACAAAACAGGCCAAAAAAAAATTTTCCAGGGGCAACCCCCACAAGGCTTGTCCTCAGAAAATTCTCCATTAAAAATCATGCAACATTATTTTTGGGTCGGGTCATCATCTGGATCAACACAACTAGATTCCACAAAAAAAAAATAATATAGTTTATTTCTATTACAACTTAAATTAGTTTGGGGTTGAAATTTCCATTGTCATGTGTGAACTGTATAACAAATACAAACCGTGAAACCCTAAAGTCCCTATTCGTTATCAGTGCCTTAAATATATTCGAAGCCTCTCTCTCTCTCTCTCATGTGACTGCATATTTCTTTAGCCCTACTCCCAACACAAACTCACTAGTTTTTCCTCGGTAACCAAGTCTGCCTCTCTTAATTATTTTTACCATAGCACTGTAATTAATAATATAGTTAAAAAAAAAAAATATCGGCCAACTACTCTTAAAAACAAATGCTCCAAAAACTTACTCATCATCCATGCAACTACACATATGTCCTATAAATTATGAATTTTGTGTCAATTAAGTCTCGAAACTTTTTTATGTGTTAATTGAATCATTGAACCATCTAATTGTATCAGTTAAACCCTTTTATTTTTTTGCGCCAAATAGTCACGTGAGTGATACACTGTAATGGAGGCAGACAGGAGAGCTCAATTGACATAATTAGAGTTTAGGAACTTAGTTGATACAATTAAAAATTTAGGGCTCAATTAATATAAAAATTATAATTTAAGGGTCATATGTATCATCTACTCTTAATTTATTAACATCTGTATTCAAGTTGAGACCTTGTTTATGTACAAAGCAAGTATTATATGTAAGAAAAAGACACTGAAATGGTTGCTTAATCCCAACCCTCTTTTACTTTTTCACAATCTCCTAAGCTGCCTCACTCCTATATCATCCATCCTCCTCTTCCCTAGGCACTGCGCCAGCGCCACCCCCCCCCCCCCCCCCCCCCCCTTTTTTATCAAATCATGCTTTTATACATAATTGGTGTGCCAGCTCTTTTTTATCAAATCATGCTTTTATACATAATTGGTGTAACAGTTATGCTACATTATCATCGTTATATAATATAATCAATCAATTATAAACAAACAAATAAAATAAATAAATTTCACTAATCCTACATAAAAATTTTGAATGTTAAAATTATTGGTGGCTATAAAATTTGATAGAATCCTTTAGTCCTACATAATAATTTATAAGTGACTTACTACGTTGAATATTTTCTCACCCACCACTTCATGGACTCTGAAAACTTTGATCCTCATCGCCCCAGTTGCAGGAAAGTCTGACAGACACTGCCTGAGCCCTGAGGTCTTGACGCCACGGCAGATTTGATGAAGTCACAGAAATACCCTCGCTGCTCTTCTTGATGGCAGTTTTGTGAAAAGGGTGTCACCGGCATTTCAAAAGTTTTGACACAAATTGACTCACGCAAGATGATATTAATCAAGTAATACAATAGAAGCAAACTTATATATAGAATAACTTATGCACCTTTGCAGTGATTAAATAAGAGGCGAGACATAAGTCTATACATCTTGTTTGTATTACTTTGGCCTAATAGAATGCAGCTTGGACGTATATTAATAACCATAAATTTAAAAGATGCATGGTCGAGACTATATATATATATATATATATATATATATATATAGAGAGAGAGAGAGAGAGAGAGAGAGAGAGAGATGCTCATTCAGTATAATCAAATAGTAAATGTCATTTAGGATATAGGATGCGCCCTAATCAATGCACTAAAGAAAGAGCTGTGAACAATGTTATGTTTAAATGCCATTGATGTGATTGTGTCTCTTTACACCTAGAACAGTAGCAGGAAAGAGCTCTCAAACCTCCGCCGTCACAACCAACAAGCCACTACTGAGCACTTCTGAAATGCCCACCATTTATGAAGTAAACTCTACTCGAGCTTGGGTTTAACCTCTCCACACCACCACCACCATCGCCGCCGAGACCACCAATAGTAACACTGGAAGCAGCACCTCCGCGTCCGGTGAAGCAGGGGGAACTGGAATATTTCCGGTCAGAGAGGTATACCTCAACATCATTTAACTTTCACCATATTCAAAACAGTGATAGTCCTCCATAAATGATATATAAGACCTTAAGTTTTGTTCACATGCATGGGTTTTCAAGGACACATAGTGTGAGTTTTAAGCCTCCCCACCACCACAAAACCCTCCTTCACATGCATACTGTCCCCCAGAGAGTGGACTTTCACCATCACCACCACCGCCACCACTCCATCAAACCCATTTGTTAACCTTCACCATCAGTTCATATTCTAGGCTCCAATGGAGAAACCAAGCAACTTTACCTCCCTTCCTTCTTTGTTCTTCTCGTTCTTTTTGTGTTTAATCATTAACAAAACTGTAGTCACCGCTCTCTCTCCTGATGGACAAGCTCTCTTCTCTCTCCTCTCAGCAGCTGACCCTCATTCCAAAACATCCTCATCTGTACTCTCCTCTTGGAATCCATCAAACTCAACACCATGTTCATGGCAAGGCATTACATGTTCTCCACAAGACAGAGTAATCTCACTTTCCCTCCCAAACACATTCCTGAACCTCTCTTCCCTACCCTCACAACTCTCTTCTCTCTCCTCTCTCCAACTTCTCAATCTCTCTTCCACCAATATTTCTGGCCTAATCCCACCTTCCTTTGGTTCACTTACCCATCTTCGCCTTCTAGACCTCTCTTCCAACTCTTTCTCTGGGCCTATTCCTCGTGAACTTGGGCTCCTCACTTCACTTCAATTCTTTTTCTTGAATTCAAACAGACTGACAGGTAAAATCCCCCCACAGATTGCCAATCTTTCTTCACTACAAGTCCTCTGTCTCCAAGATAATCTACTTAATGGGTCAATTCCTTCACATTTGGGCTCATTGGTGTCCCTCCAACAACTCAGAATTGGAGGCAATCCTTATCTAACTGGTGAAATTCCACCACAATTGGGACTACTCACCAATCTCACCACTTTTGGTGCTGCGGCTTCGGGACTCTCTGGTGTGATCCCACCTACATTTGGTAATTTAATCAATCTCCAAACTTTAGCCCTTTATGACACCGATGTATTTGGTTCAATACCGCCCGAAATCGGGCTGTGTTCAGAGCTAAGAAACTTGTATTTGCACATGAACAAGCTCACTGATTCAATCCCACCTCAATTGGGTAAGTTGCAGAAGCTCACTAGCTTGCTTCTTTGGGGCAATTCTCTTTCCGGGCCTATCCCAAATGAGCTTTCAAATTGTTCATCGCTTGTTGTTCTTGATGCGTCAGCTAATGATTTAACGGGTGAAACACCGGGTGATTTGGGGAAGCTTGTTGTTCTTGAACAGCTTCACTTGTCTGATAATGCACTAACAGGCTTGATTCCATGGCAGTTGAGTAACTGCACTAGTCTCACAGCTCTTCAGCTTGATAACAACCAATTGTCTGGTCCAATTCCATGGCAGATTGGTGATTTGAAGCTCTTGCAAAGCTTCTTCTTGTGGAACAATTCAGTTTCCGGGACCATACCGGCCTCTGTTGGAAACTGCACTGAATTGTATGCTCTTGATCTTTCGGGGAACGGGCTTACTGGGTTGATTCCTGAAGAGATATTCAGTTTACAGAAGCTGAGCAAACTATTGCTACTTGGGAATTCATTATCAGGAGGATTGCCTAGAAGTGTTGCGAATTGCAAATCTTTAGTCCGATTGAGGCTCGGGGAAAATCAACTTTCAGGTCAGATTCCTAAGGAGATTGGCCAATTGCAAAATCTTGTGTTTCTTGATTTGTATATGAATCATTTTTCTGGTAATTTGCCTTCCGAAATCACAAACATATCTGTTCTAGAGCTGTTGGATGTGCACAATAACTACTTAACTGGCGAAATACCATCACAATTTGGGGAACTTGTGAATTTAGAACAGCTTGATCTCAGTCGAAACAGCTTCTCCGGTGAAATTCCTTTGAGTTTTGGGAATTTCAGTTACTTGAACAAACTCATTCTCAGCAATAATTTGCTATCTGGTTCAATCCCAAAATCCATTCGAAAACTGCAGAAACTAACTCTGCTTGATTTGAGCTTTAACAGTCTTTCTGGGGCAATTCCAGCTGAGATTGGGTATATGACTAGCTTAACCATTAGTCTAGACTTGAGCTCGAATGAGTTTACTGGTGAAATCCCTGAGACAATGTCTGGTTTAACTCAGTTACAATCACTTGATCTTTCGCGTAATAGGCTCAATGGAAAGATTACAATTCTGAGTTTTCTGACCAGTCTCACATCCCTGAATGTCTCGTACAACAATCTCTCAGGTCCTATACCTGTGACACCATTCTTTCGTACTCTAACTTCAAATTCGTTCCTAGAGAATCCAAATCTTTGTGTATCCATTGATGGTTCTACTTGTTCTTCACATGTGGGTCGAAGGAGTGGATTAAAATCTGCAAAAACTATAGCTTTGGTCACTGTGATTTTGATTTCTGTAACAGTGGTAGTTGTCATTGCATGGATTCTTGTGACACGAAACCATAAGTTTGTAGTGGGGAAGTCCTCAGGTACATTAATATCTTCATCAGGGGCAGAGGATTTTTCTTATCCATGGACTTTCATTCCCTTTCAAAAGCTCAATTTCACAATCAACAACATCTTGGACTGCCTAAAAGACGAAAATGTGATCGGGAAGGGCTGTTCTGGTGTTGTTTACAAGGCTGAAATGCCCACTGGAGAGTTAATTGCAGTGAAAAAGCTATGGAAAACAAAGAAAGATGAAGAACCAGTAGACTCTTTTGCTGCAGAAATTCAAATTCTTGGGCACATTAGACATCGAAACATAGTTAAACTCTTGGGTTACTGTTCCAATAAGAGTGTGAAACTCCTTCTCTACAACTACATTTCAAATGGCAATTTGCAACAGCTCTTGCAGAATAACAGGAACTTGGACTGGGAAACCAGGTACAAGATCGCGGTCGGGTCAGCTCAGGGCCTTGCTTATCTTCATCATGATTGTGCACCAACAATTCTTCACAGAGATGTGAAGTGCAATAACATACTCCTAGATTCTAAGTTCGAGGCTTATTTGGCAGATTTTGGACTTGCTAAGCTGATGAACTCTCCAAATTATCACCATGCCATGTCCAGAGTAGCAGGGTCTTATGGGTATATTGCTCCAGGCAAGTACCTTTGAACTTCAGTATCTCTTTCTTACATTCCTTTCAAAATCACTAAATACAGTACAAGAAGCAGTGCCATTTCCTTTGAGATTTAAACAGTTCAAGGGTTCTCTATGATTAGTTATCAAAACATGAGTGCCTGCGAATTTTTTTATGAAGTTTGCATAGAGTTTGTTCAATATATGGATAAATGATGTGAAATTGTTAATCACCAAATGCTCTAAAAGCTATTGGAGAGGGACGTACATAACTACTCATAACATAGTCCCCTTCATGTGTGGCCACTCTTGATGGTTGGTTCACATGATTGTTTGTGTAATAAGCAAGGAGGCACTGAATCTGATATGATTTAAACTCCGGGCCTTTAAGCTCCGATGATATGTTAATCATTAACTGCTCTAAAAACTTAAGCTAGAGATGGCTATAAAATAAGAATATATCTCCTAGAAGTACAGTATTACTTTCATTAAAGGTGGATTAGATGCTTTTCTTTGTCAGACTCGGGAAGATTTAGCTTTACTATTCTTTTCTAAGTCCTTTTATTGAGATTCGGTTTAAAATCTAAATTTTGAATGATTGTTGCAGAATATGGATACACAATGAACATAACGGAGAAGAGCGATGTCTACAGTTATGGGGTGGTTTTGCTAGAGATTTTAAGTGGGCGTAGCGCAGTTGAGTCCCAGGTTGGAGATGGCCAGCACATTGTTGAGTGGGTGAAAAAGAAGATGGGAAGCTTTGAACCGGCTGTGACAATACTCGAATCAAAGCTCCAAGGACTGCCAGATCAGATGGTGCAGGAAATGCTTCAAACTCTAGGTATCGCGATGTTTTGTGTGAATTCTTCGCCTGCTGAACGTCCTACCATGAAAGAAGTGGTGGCATTGTTGATGGAAGTGAAGAGTCCACCTGAAGAGTGGGGGAAAACTTCTCAGCCTTTAATGAAACAATCCTCAAATCAAAGCTGATTCTTTTTCTTCTTCTTCTTCTTCCAAGGGAATTAGTGATTGAATTTCTTTCAGTTCCCAAGATAAAGGAAGGTTTGTAATTGGGAAAATGGAAGGAAAGCTTGGGGTGGTGCTTTTCTTGGATTTGGGCTACAAGGGTTGGGGTTTGTTGTACAGTTTTGAGTTCAACATGGTTGATTTGCTTCTATGACTTTTAAAACGCTTAAGAAAAAGTATCATCTTAGGGTGCTTCTTCCCTCAATCTTTCCAAGAATGATGCCTTCCAAAAGCTGTGGAAATTTTCTTTGCAAAAACCATGTAGTTAAACTATGGCTTTCCCTCTTAGAACCTTCAAAAAATATAGATTTTTTTTCCTGTTGGCCAATATTGAGGTTCTCTTATTAGTTTTGTAGAGAACTGTATAATTTTTTCCATAGTCCGTTTGATTTGGCTTCTGACTGCATGCATGGACTAAAACCACAAGGAATTGATTGCAACATGACTCATACTTAGAGGGGGTATTTTGTAATAAACCCAATTGAAATTATCCAAAAAAATATATAAAACATATATAGATAAAAAAAATAAATAAATAAGGGTAGGGACAGGCCCCCTGGTACCTACCTCCCTCCCCCACTGCCTCTCCCCAGCATCCCTTCCCCTGTAATATGATACTGTGTCCAAAAAAAGGTGAATTTAATGTAGGCCCAATGTTGCAAGGTGAAGAGAGACAGAGAGGGAACAAGACATGCCTCCTTCCCATTCCTCACATGTCTTCAAGCACAATGGAATTAAACTGTCTTCCCAAACTCAAATTGTCCATTCCCATCTGGGTTTTATTATGAAGCTAGGTGTTGGTCAAAAAGTGAATCTAACCAAGATCATGATCAGCAGCTTTGTCAGCTTCTTCCCCTCACATACTTCTCTTTGTTTGAATATTTTAGCCATGTTGCATTGTCTCTTCATGGCAAAAACTAGAGAGAGGAGGGGGTCCCAAATGTGCTATCCTCATAAATTTTTTGAGGTTGTTCTTACTTCTTATCTTGGTTGTAACATTTCAACGTGGCAAGGCATGTATCCCCCAAAAAGCAGTTTTTTTCCGAATTGTTTTTGGCCTAGTAATAATACAGATAAAAGTGTTAATCAAGTCAAACTTAAGTATGCTCACATTCCGCTTGGTTGTAACATATTGAAAGAATTCGAGCTAAAATTTAGTTCAATTTTTAAGCAAAAAATCTTCAACAATTAAGCGATGAAATTCAATGTTCAATACTGAAATAATCAATTTCTCATTAAAAATCCCTCAAAATATTTATATTAAATATTAAAATCACACTCTACAAGTTCAAGTTTCCTAAAATGCTACAGAGGAGATGTTTAGACAAGGACTGCTTGATAATAAAGACAAAATCATAGGTGAAAAAATAACTTTTTTGAGTTGAGTCGAATATAATCTAGTCAAGAAATACTTGCTTAGATTGAAGTCGCATAATTAAACATGTCTAAACTAAGTTGACCCAAAATAAGTTCGAATAGCTCACATCATTTAAAAATCCTAAACATAAAGTCATGGTGAAAGAAACAAGATTTGAACCCCCATCAACTGATGGGCTTCAAAATATTTGGAACAGTTGATCTTTTCCCATACACAAGAAGATGGGATCTTCTAATACCCACTTCGACCTGTCCCTTGTAACTAACACCAGCGTATCCTGTAGCCATTTTTGGGCCAGAAAACAGTTGAAAACCTGCCCTAATGGCCCTGCTATTCAACCTTTTGCTTGCAACAGTATTGTTGGCCCAATGGGTATGGATTTAACAAAAAGGTCCTACCCAAGGGATTACCTTCTTATGCATAACTTTTTTATAACTCACCACCCAAAGTATGAAAATTCAATAATGCTATATTGATCAAATTTTATGATTAAATTTAAAACTTAAATGATATGGGGGTTGACTTGGATTTCTTTATTTGGTGTTATGTCATTTGGGCCCCAATAAATACTCTAAATAATATGTTGTTATATCGTTTGTCCTCCAAATTTGATTCTAAAATTTGATCAGCGCAGCCTTATTGATGCAAATTAAAAAGTTCAATTTGATTAAACTAGTACGTCAACATGAAAGAGACGGTAACTATTAAGAATCATCGTGTTGCAGATAATACAATCTTGTTTCATGCACGTTGAGCAAGTACAAAGTGAATGTATATGCTGCGTGCAGTTGAACCTAATCAATTATAGATATTAGATTGAACGTGGGTTCTGTCTAATATTAAAATACACATCTAATGTAATAAATGTATTGAATTGTGTCTTTAGTTAAGTTGGAACACACGACTAATATAAAATTGCTGTTTTCATTTTCAACATTAGAGATATCAAAAATAAAGAATAATAAATCTGTTTTCACTCTTAAAAGCAGTGACATCCTAAGAATGCTTTCTATGAAGCTTTGTACAGTATCCAACCCATCTGTATCTAGGCAGAAGCAAACAGCTAAATTAGAGGCACAAAAGTTCAAACATTTCATCACCCTATTTTGGACTGCTTGTGGACATGTGGGTCTAATAGTAGCCAAAAGTTCATGAGGACAACATAATCACCACCCAAACCATCCTACCAGGTTGAAATCAGTTCTATTGTTGGAGCCATTTGACCTAAATTACTAACCAACACTTTCAATAATGCTACTCAGCCTTAGTTTATTATATATTTATTTGATTGACAATATACTTCATTTAATATTGAATCTAACCACTACAATTAACTAGGTCTATAAATTAGTGACAAAATTTTATATGTAACAGTGATACCATATCATTGTTGATCACTATTCAATAATAAAAACATTAAATATGATTGGAGAATCACTCTTCCAATGTGATTTTTATTAGATAAGATAGTTATTAAGATAGTGAGACCCACTAAATCTATCTCGTATTTTATAGAACTGGTAACTAACAGACACTGTATAACATTGATAAAGTGGTGTCATCGATTAAATTAAATATTTATTCCTAAATTAGGTCAATTCTAATTAGCATTATTTTTGTATTTAGGGAGAATTTTATATTTTGTATTCCAAATGATTTTAAATTTTTTATTTTGTACTTTTTTTTAAATTACACCTTTAATGTATCAAAAGAGTGACAATTCGATCATTCTGTTAGTTTTTTGTTAGTGTCAATTAGATCTGTCAAAGTTCGACACGACACGATTCGATTAATCGACACGAATTAAGTGAATATATGTGAGACCTTAACGATTCGAATAGTAAACGGGTTGACCCGTTAGACATGTTTAATAAACGGGTTGTTTTCGGGTGAGTCATGTCAACTCATTTATCATTCGTTTATCTATTTAAATAAAATTAATATAATAATAAATTAATAATTATTTTAAAATTTTAGGTAATTTTTTTTAATGACAGCCACAAAAAACATATGTATATTATTTTTAGTGATAGACACAAAATTTTATTTTATTTTATTTTTAAATTTAGTGACAGTCATAAAAATATAATAATAAATTAAAACTAAGTGAGTCGTGTATGATTTTACATATTTTTCATCCGTCATCCAATTAATTCGATACGTTTGACTCCCAGTGTTAATGGATTGAATTTTTTATGGCAAATCAATACGAAAAATTTAATTTTTAAAGGTACAAAAAGCGAAATTTAAAATTTCTCAGGGTTGAGAGTGCAAAAAGACCTTGTATTTATACGGTTCCCGCGAGGGAAAGTAGAATCAAACAACGCGCCTCTTTCTTTCTCTAGAATTCCCCATCTCTCTCTATGTCTCTCCCCCTTTTTCCAGTCTCTCACTTTCAATATCTGTAGCCTGAGAAGGTCTTCGTAAAAGAAAATGGAGGCAGCGATGGGATTGATGAGAAGGATGCCACCAAAGCACGCAGAGACGGCTCTCTCTGCTCTGCTAAGTGTATTGCCTGAGCACTCTTCTGATCTCCTCTCTCAAGTCGATCAGCCTCTTCAGGTACACATGCAAATATGTCATTTCATTGTGAATTTTGAATTAAAGACACAAACATATATATCTTTGTTCGTTTTTTATTTTGTTGTCTGGTTATCGCGCATTTAGTTGAAGAATTTTGAAATGTGGTTAATTTTCGATGTCCCCTTTGATGATGCTTCTCCTCCATAGGTGAGCTCTATTTGAAGTTTGAGTTCCGTTAATTTTGTTCTGTTTGAGAGGATATGGCGTTGGGTTGTTTTAGGGGTGAAATTGGTGCAGAAATGACAATCACTTTTGGGACTTGTTAGGGTTGCAGAACGTTCAAATTTTCCTCTGCAAGAAACAATAGAGTATGGGGGTTTAGTCTATCTAGCTCTCCCTTGAATTTTGCGCTTTAGTTCTGGATCTGATATTGAAAATGAAAGCTGCGTTTGTTTAGATGTATAATTTTAAGGATCTACCAAAGAATTGCGTGGGCGTGTAGTCATTTGCTTTCTCATTTTGCAATTTTGGGTTGATGGTTTGAAAATAATTTCCTTTGCAAAGAAAATACACAAAATACCCAAACAATCATGTGTATGGGCACATATACAGGTTTCCTACAGTGGAAAATATACAGATTAATATAATTTCCCAGAGGACATGTGCTTTGAGGATTTTGTGTACACCTTCTTAGTGAACCTCTTGGAGGTTGGAACTAAGTGCCTTTGGCTGATCCCTGCTAAGTTTGGGTCTCATTATTAGGGGAGTAAGCATGCTTTTGACAACTATAATTCTCAAATGCTGAAGCCGTGTCTGATTTGTTGCAACCACTGGGTAATATTCTTGTGTTTGAGAAGTTTTTGTCTTCAAGATAATTGTTGGTGAACTTTTTATCTTATATGGATTTTTAATATCTCTTTTATCAAATAGCAATAACGAGCCTTTGGCATTATACTGCCATTTAAAGCATAATACTGGCTATTAATATCATTGCTTCTGTGGGATAAGCTGTTAGTTTTTCCTGGATCAATTAAAACAGGTTCTATGTGATGTGAACTGTGGGAAGGAATTCATATTGTGTGAATACAACAGAGATGCTGACTCTTATAGGTAAATGCTTAAATGCTGAACTGTACTTTTTACTTTGTTAAAACTTGTAATGTGAGTGTATAGAATGATAGTTTTTAACTTAATCTGTCCATGTATTTCCTTGCAGTTTGAATGCATAATTAAGAGGTCGGTTGCATGTATCAGTGTTCAATTTTAATTAACATGAAGCCTATTGAGTTTAATAGTGCTTGTGCCCTGGTTACTCTATGGAACTGGCATTCCTGAATCCTTTATTAACCTTTTTGCTAAATTAGTTATAGCATTTGCATGGTTCAAAATATCGGCCAAGTCCAAGTCAACTCGACCGAGTCATATTTGTCTCAGTAGTTGCCGATCCGATAACGATACACGGTACACCAATATAACGAGATTCAACTGAATCGATCTTGACTCAGTTACAACTCGGTGGTATCGGTCCAACTTGGAGCTAAATCGATCAGACTCAGCCGAGTCAAACCGAGTCAGACTGCTATGGTGCAATCAGATTTGGAAAATCTAGACTGCCAAAACCAAAAAAAAAACAGAGAAAGGAAGTAGAAAATGGGTGAGATGAAGTATACGAAGACGCAGAAAATCGAAGAATCACTTTGACCAGAAGGTCTCTTCTTCTTCTTTCGGTGGAGACCCATAGCTAATCAATACTAGCAGAAACTCTAAGTTTACAGATTGAAAAATCATCAATCGCTTCTCGCTCGCTCACTTAAAGATCGAAAAAATCTTTCCTTCACTATTTGCTTCTCGCTCACTCACTCTCTTTCTCTCTCGTGATCGAGAGGCAATGATAAAACACAGACCCCCACCACACCACACGGTGTTTATATTTTATGGGTCACACCCCTCCTTTGCTTTTAGTCTTTACACGTGTGTTTATATTTTATTGGCCCTTACTCTTTATGTATGGAACATCTCTAATTCAATTATTAAATTATTGAAAAAAAAAATTAAATTAGAACAATGACTCATTAAACTATTAATTTAACACAAAATTATTCATTTAAAGTATTGAGATTTACTTGTACTTGTCAAATTTATATTTGATGGATACGTATTTGTTGTTCTTGTTTTTATTTTTTTAAAATTAGGTACTAGTAAGTTAAAAAAAATTCTAATAACATATGTTTAAAGTTTAGTGTGTCCTTCAATAAAAACATTCAATCTAAATGATGATAAATATTTTTGGTATCGTCCTTATAATTCATTTTTATTATGTTTAATATGTTAAATAATGTATTTTTGGGATATAATGCATGAATGGTGATATTTACATATTTTTAAAATTTTTCATGATTTTTTTATATTTTTTTGGGTCTTCTATCTAGCGTTTTGAGCGTATCAGCCGATACCATGCCGCGACACCGCGACTGATGTGTCTCAGTGCCTTCCGAGTCGATGACCGATACCGTGACTTTGAACCATGAGCATTTGTCAACAACAAAATGTCCTCATTTAATTTAGTATAGACTAGGTATACAAGTTTGTTTTGTCAGGCTTCTCAAGGGCCATGCATTCACTTAAATTTATGTTGCTCCTCTTCTTTGTGTCTTACTCTACCAGTGATGTATCACAGATATTATGTTTCCATTTTTTCTTGTAGATCACCCTGGTCAAATAAATATCATCCAACATTGGAAGACGGTCCTCACCCATCTCAAGAGCTGAGGAAACTTGAGATTGAAGCAAATGATGTCTTTGCAATTTATTGTGACCAGTGAGGTCCTTAACTTACCTCGTCCTTAAGTTTGTTTTATCATTTCTCAATTTATTGACATCGGGTGATTTACTATTGAATATATTCCATTATGTGTTTGATTTTTTTTTTTATTAAATTGGAAACATTTGGAAGTTATATGAACTTTCTTGGTCAAGATATCATCTGTCATTTCTCAATTAGTTCACTTGTACTAGTTTATGTGTGGTAATTTATGATGGCTGAAGGAGAAGTAGCAGCTTGATTAATCAATATATTGTAAGGTATTATGAAGGTGGCATTTCATCAGTATATATGTGGGATGACGAGAATGAAGGCTTTGCAGCTTGTTTTCTAATAAAGAAAGGTAAGGTTTTCTCTTTGCTTATATTGGAGCAATGAAGTTTTTGCCCCCCAACTAATTTGAATGATCTTGGGGATATAGATGGCTCGAAGTCAGGACATGGCAGAAGAGGCCATCTGCAGGAGGGAGCATGGGATGCTATACATGTTATTGAGGTAAATAGTCTGCCAAAAGCTATGACGAGAATGGAGATCTTTCCCCATCTCTGTCCCCTTCTTCCTTGCCGTTTTCTTCTTTTCCATTAACTAATTTTTTCTATCTTGCTGCAAATCTCAATATTATTAAGGTGGGGCCAGAGGAGGAAGGAACAGCCCATTACTGTTTAACGAGTACCGTGATGCTGTCATTGACTACAAACAATGAATCATCAGGAACCTTTAATTTGTCAGGATCAATTAGAAGACAGGTACTTCATATGATACTGGTTTAGATTATTTGTTAATCTGCTATATGCTAATTAAGTCTAGGAATTTCTGAATACTCATAAGTATGTATCACTGTACATGTTACTTGGTTGTTGTGATTTGCTGGGCATGGACAATGAATGCAGCTTAGTTTCACTGGAGAAAATAGTTAAAGATAACTTGTGTTCTCTCTCGGAGTATTGATATTATTGTTATGAAACCGAAGCTCTCCAACTCCAAAATTGACCCGCCAAACCTACAAATTTCTCAAATCCAACCTCAAATTCAGATTTCTTGACCCCAAATCCTTAAGTAAGACCCTTTCCAACAATTGAAACTAAGGATTTAGAAAACCCACAAATTCAAGTTTCATAACAACCTAGGGTTTCTAGTTCTTCAACTTCTACGCTAACCCGTCAAAATGAAAGCATGCCAACATATTACACAATCATATTTGAACTAGTTTGAAGCATCAATTTAAAGAAAATTGCATGAAACCAGAGCTACCCACTTCTTTCTCAATTTCAGGTTTTCAAAACTTCTCTCTAAAAATCCTATACTTCCATGATTTTGTAATGAAATTAAACAACATAAGTGCAAGTGTCTGTTGTTGATAGGATATTTGCTAGATGTATCAACTCTTTCAACCAAATTCCACTGGGTTCTTTTCTCTCTCTGCCTGCCTGCCCCTGCACCCCAACCTACCCCAACAGGTTTCTCTTTTGTTCCTTTTTTCTTTGTGCTAGCTTGCGGTTTCACTCAGCTAATTAAGCCAAATGGTTGCATTTACATGTTGAAAAAATAATGCAAGGCTTAATTTATGAATTTTATTGTTTATTTTTAATAGGAAATTAAGTTCTTTTGTATAGATGGACATGGACTTCTCAGTTGCAGAGGGTCATCTATGTAACATGGGAAGAATGATCGAAGAAATAGAGGGCAAGCTGAGGAACTCACTGGAGCAGGTACTCAACGTATACTTTTTGTATTGAAAGTTTATCATTTTTGAATGAAAAAGCCCTTTGGGGTATCAAACAGAGCGTTCGGTGTTGGGCTGCAATCCCACTCTCTGGGCTATTTGGGCCCTGCGGTTATGGTAATCATACCGGGGTGTTGGGGGATTGGACTATCCCACATCGGATAGCTTTGGGTGTGTGTGTTAATTTAAATACTCCACCTAGCACTTCCTCTTTTAAGTGGTTGTGCTAAGTGTGTGTTCAAAAAAAAAAACTTGAGGTGATTCAGTTAATATGGCAGGTTTATTTTGGGAAGACAAAGGAAATGGTTTGCACTTTGCGTCCACCCTCTGAACTGGCTCAAATGAGGCTGCCCGACAGCCGTGATGCGTGATCTTCTTCAGCTTCTGCAACAAAGTTCAATACAACTGATTTTTTCTTCTCATCTTTGCCAACATTCTGTGGGACTGTGGTTTGATAGCAAATGCATTTATGTTTCCATTTTTTGCACTATCGTCCACTATTAGAGACTGCAAAATTTTGAATTCCCTTTGTAAATTTGCATTTTGCTGCAGCACTGGCTAATAGCTTTTTCCACTTTAATGGAAATCTTCGTTTTATGACTTACAAATTTATATTTTTTGGGAATTGGTTGGAATATGTTCGTATCTATTAATAGGGTTTTAGTTCACACAACTTGTTGCGGCAAATGCTTGTCAAAAAGCACTTCTGCGAGACACTCTGCAGGTCTTCCTTACCCATATGTGGTGATATTAGTTACCCTGATATGGCCTTTGAAGCTATGAGGTATTGGAATTTTATTTCCTTACTTTTATACCGTCGGGAATCTCCCGGTGTTTAAGCAAATGTCCACAGGCGTTATACTTGTCGGACTCTGGTGGCAGGTAGAACATAGATATTCTCTTGAAAATATTAAACGAACTAAATAATCTATCTAGATACAGTAAATGGCCCAAGCGGAATAGCTTGGATTCGATATGCTAAATAAGGCGTTCTAGGGATGTTGTCCATATCCTACGAAAATAAGCAAAAGGCATTCTACGTATCTGCTCATTTATAGATTTCCATGCAAGAAAATATTACGGTGTCAGTAATAACTTGCTAATTGACTGTACACATGTTCTCTGTAATTTAGCAATAGCAGTTACTGTATACGCACAAAACATTTGAAGACGTAGTTCAGCAAGTGAAAAACCTAATGGTTTTAAAATGAACAAATATCAATAAACTCTTTCAGATGCCTAGTGTTGATCAAGTTAAAATACCATTGCAGAAAATGGAATACACAACTCAACATCTGCTGTACTTCATCAACACCACTCATAACACATACCTTTTCCATGCTCTTTAATTGAGGGTCTACAATTACCTGTTTGTGAGCACAATAAGCAACCTGGAGGTCTCATTGAATCAATTACCTGTTTTTGAGCTTTGAATTACCTGCTGTGGATTTTAAACAAAATTCAGTTTGAATTTTTATCGACTTTGAGCTTAAATTAAAGTGAGTCCCGTTTGTTATTTCAAATAAACTTTTATGGGTTCGTATTATGCTCCGAGAGCAGAATAGTTTAGTATATTTACTTGCTCAAATCGAGTAAGGAATGAACGAGAAAATAGGTTTCGAAGTGACTCTTTTGAAATATGGAAATAAAGGTTGTGTAATATGAAATTTGACATCAATCCTATATTAGGTAAGGAAGAAGTTTTACATGGTCATATATATGCTAAATTTGTTCTATGGGATTGGGCCCCAAGGGATACTACAATTTTATGAGAGAAACGAGCGCCTACGTGCTTTCAATTCTACCACACATGCGTGTCGCCTGCCATGACCCGAACAAGCTACAGTGTGACATATCTTTTTGGAGAAAATTCGATTAATTAATTGGGCATGAATTTCTTTATCTGGAATTTAATTTTCGGTATTCATTAATTAATCCGAATTTTTTGTTTCACTTCAATCTGAAATCTAAGTTGTGTATGTTCATAGAGAACAATTACATAAGTGGTGTCCTCTGGCTGCATGTGTCTGCTGGGTTGCATTTGTTTATATGGTGACTGTCTGGATCAGTCACCGTTCTCTCTATAAATAATCCAATCACACAATTATTTTCCATCCAATTAATTTAATACATTTTTAATCATTTAAGGCAATCTCATACATCATTAAGGCAGTCTACATTTTAAGAGTACACAACACAATTTCTTGTTTATTAGACGAGTAGATTAGAATGCTACTTCTATTCGTGTGAATATTATTGTATCCGGAGAGGCAGACGCTTGATATTTGATTACGCCTAAAAAATACCGCGGTAGTTGTAGCATAGTTTTTGGATGTCGATTCCACATAGAGACAAACTAAAAGAATAGTAGAAGGAACAAAAAGAATTAAAAAAAAATATTAAATGATTATTAGAAAACAAAGATTAATTTTAAATGTAACTTAAAGTGAAATAAAGTGACTAACAGAAAAAGTATTCAAATTTAACAAATAGTAAAGCGTCGGAAATCTCTTACACAAATCTGGTGTTTTAATTATTTTTAATTCATTGAATAACTCAACTAGGAAATCAATTCCCAAAATTCCCAATTAGAAGGTATAAATTTATAAATCAACATTAAACCAAATGTAACCCTTTAAAAAATCATTTATCACTTTTAAAATACGTAAATTATCATTACTATTGAGAAAATTCAACGACGACAATATACTCAAGAAACAATATTGCAGCAAAAAATTAAATCAATATAGATAAATAATTGATCCAAATAAAATCAAATAACTAATTCATTCAATAAAAAAACACATAATGAATCTATAAACAAAATAAATTTTATGATTATTCAGAGATAATATCAATAATAAATTAAAAATGATAAAACAAAATAGTTTTATTAATTAAAATTCAAATATATAAATTAAAAATAAATAAAATATCATATACTGTACAAGTTCATCCCTCGCTCTACCTGAGAATTTAGTTATTCCTAAATAAAATAGACAACAAAAATATCCCAAGGAATAAAATAAATCGGCAACCATCGGCGTCCTTCTCCCTGTATTTCGTCTCCTTTATGTTCGTTCAGCAGCCGCTCAGCACAAGAAAAGAAGAAAAAACAGCCGCCTCCTCTAAAGCAAACATACAGGTTAAAAGTGAATATCCTTTTAAGAAAATATATTTTCGTCTCCTCTTTACTCCAATCTTTCTACTTCAGCCCCTCTTAATTCTAACTTTTTTACTTCAGACCTAAAGCCCAAATCTTGTATAATTTAAAATAGATAAAGTTCAATAAAAATTATGAGTGTTAGGCCCACTTAACAACTGCATCAACTTCAGCCTTTTTACTCCATGGGCTGCCATCAAAATAAAAACAAGGGTTCTTTGGAAGCTGGTACACCTTATTAGACTTATTTGACAAAAAGTAAATAGAACAAAATGTGAGTTAAAAAGATATAAATGTCATTTTAGAGTCATTTAATTCAAAATTTCTTTATCTTTAATACATCTTGACTAATGTGTATTTATTAATACATATAAATACATATTTAATGCACCTTGATTCATATGTGTTTGTTAATAATATATATATATAAATAAATATATATATATATTTATTTTTTAAATTTCCTATTTAAATTTTTGAATTATCTTTAATGCACCTTAATTCATGCGATTTTGTTTTTAAAAGTGATTTTTATTTTCAAATTATATTTAATGCACCTTGATTCAAGCGTTTTTTTTTTGAAAAAAATAGTTTTATTTTCAAATTAATTTAATATCCGAATAATGTATTAATATATACAATATAACAATTATAATAATAACAGTGTAACAAATACACACTATAACAAAAACAACGTTCAGTAGTTTGTGTATATGGTAACAAATTCAAAACGGAGAGGAACTAATTTGAATTAAATTATATAAAACTATATATTGACAAAATATAATAGTACAATATTTTGTTTAAATAGCTTG